ACAAGACCTTTTTAAAGTGTTGAAGAGCAAAGATGTCAGCTTGAGGACTAAGGTGCGCTTGATCCAAGCCATGGTATTATCAATAACCTCATATGCATGCAAAAGCTGGACAGTGAATAAGGAAGACCATAGAAGAATTGATGCATTTGAGTTATGGTGTCGGAGGAGAATATTCAAAGTGTCATGATCTACCAAAAGAACCAACAGATCCATGTTGGAAGAAGTGCAGCCAGAGTGCTCCTTGGAGGCCAGGATGGCCAAATTTATCTCTCATACTTTGGAGAATTGTCAGGAGGGACCAGTTGCTGGAGAAAGATATAAGGTTTGGTAAAGTGGAGGGTCAGACAAAAAGAGGAAGACCCCCAACGAGATGGATTGGCCAAGTGGCGGCATCGATGGACCCAAGTGTGGCAACAATAGTGAATTTGGTGCAGGACTGGGCAGTGTTTCCTTCTGCTGTGCATAAGGTCTCTATGAATCGGTACCGACTCGATAGCACCTGACAACAACAACAACAGTCAGCTATGTAATATTTATAGAGGTTGTGGAGCTGTGAATGGGGAATCAGATGCAGCTAACACTCATAGTACACACAGAGATGCATATATGAAACATCCTATGGCTTTGAAAGAAGAGCTGGAAACTTTAGTTTTTTAAGTATGTAAGGAGGGTGCCTAACAGATCTACAAAATAATAAAATAGGCTATTTGTTGGCTGACAGAGGAGTAGAAATAGAATATTTAAGTCTACCAACAAAGTGATTAAAATGAGGTTATCGAACAACTTAAAAAATCAGGCAGCCTTAGGTCCTGTACACCTGCACATGGTAGCGTATCTCTCATGCTTGGCTTTGGCCAGTGGGATGGTAACTCCTCTGCCAAGTATGTTACATGTCCTTGGTGACAAGCTGACTTCTAGTAGATAACTAGGCAAGGTTCTTGTCTGGAGCATAGCAGGCAATTTGCATTTTCAGTGAAGCCCGATAACAGAGCAGGAAGATCCCTTCAATTGCTAGTACTTAAAGACCTTCCTGTGATTGGATGTCATGAAGATGTTCATTTGGACTGGTGACCCAGCTGGCTACTTAAGGTCATTGTATTTCTTTGCTGGAAGAGAGCCATATCTTTGGCATTAAAAATAAGAAATATATTAATGGAGTTTTGGTGAGTGCCTTTGAGGATGAGAAGCCAACCTGGAATAACTGCGAAGGGAAAAGAGAAGCAAACTCTATTGACCTTTAGTAGATTTCA